TGATTGAAAGCATTACTTGAAAAGTCCTCTCCAAAATGTTTCTTGTAAAGCACAGCCCAGACTGAGAGCTTAAGCAGTCTTGTATGAAATTTCTCCTGATAACTCAGTCCTCCAAAACACACAGACTGACCTGACGGTATTCCCAGCATCAGGAAATGGTCCACATCTGACAAACACTCTCCTCCCTTGCTCCTTTACAGCACAAGTGCCTTTTGCTCTTCCTCTCCTCTCCAAACAGCCCCATGGTGGGACTTCTCTGCCTCTCTGCCCTGACACTCCTGCCCTGAGAAATGTCCATGTGTTGGGGTTCTTCAAATGACCCTGGCCTGGGGCCTGGGCGTGAGGCTTGCAAGAAGAAAGAAGAAAAGAACAGGAAATATGGCATCTCTGATCTGTGCAGGGCAGGAACACCCCCTGAGACAGGGAGAGCCAGGGGGACCGTGGGGGTACAGGTGGGTGCAGGGGAGGAACGGGGGATCCACAGCAGCAGCATCTGCTGCAGACTGGGCCCAGGTTAGGACAACCTCTCCGATGGATTTCTCTGCTTGGGATGCCAAAGGGGGATCCCAAGGGATTGCAAGAACTGTGGAAAAGCAGCTGAAAGGGAAATGGTCCAAACCCACACAGAGCACTGGCTCTTCAGCTGGGGGACTGTGGCCACTGTCACCACCCATCCCCCTCCACTGCAGCCACTTCCAGCCACCACAGGGTTTGGGCTGCCCCAGATGGATGGAAACAGAGTCTGGAGTAGTCCAAAGTGCCAGGAGAGACATGTGAATATGTAAGCAAACAGGAGGCAGCAGACACAAGGCCTAATGTGATGAAAATACTGCAAGGGAATAGCAGCAACTGAGCTGGGAATCCCTGTTATAAATTGCTCCAAGTAACAACTAAAAATATAAATATAGCAGGCTCCTGAGGAGATGTGACTCAGAAAAGAGACATAAATCTTGCAATGTGTATTTCAGCCAACTTCTGAGGCTGAGCCCCCAGGAAAGCTGTCACTGGGAGCCATGTGTGCCCTGAGCCTCCAGCACCATGGGCCCAGCTCAGACAATGCATTCCCCCTTGAACCAACTGTCCCCAGCACCCCCTGAGAGGAGACAGAGGGACAGCAATTCCACACAGAGGAGAGGGATTCATTCACACACAGTTCACCACTTCAGCAGGAATTACTATAAAAAATAACCACTTTCGACACCTCCAATCTTGGCTTCCCCAGTGAAGGCGAATAAAATCCTCCCAAAGCCCTGCCTGTCTGCACAGCAGAAATGATTCACACCCAGGGCTCCAGATCACACCACGAGAGAGGCTTCAGGGAGAAAAACTCCTGCAAGTGCAGCAATAAAGAGCACAAAGGCTTTGCTCCAGAGTCAGGAGGCACCACTGGCATCAGCAGTTCACACCTTCGGGCTGCTCCAGCACAGCAGCTGAAATGGCCCGTGGGGCAGAGGGGGCAGGATCCAGGGAGGGGCTTGTCCCGCTCTGCTCTGCCCTGGGGGGGCCTCCCCTGCAATATTGGGGCAGTCTGGGGAGACACAATGGAAGGAAGAGCTGAAGCCATTAGAGAGTGTCCAAAGGAGGCAACGAGGACGGGGAAGGGCCTTGATTTGAAGCCAGGAGAGGACACTGAGGGCACTTGGGGTGTTCAGCTGGAGAAGACTGAGGGGAGAGCTCATGGCAGTTCCAGCTTCCTGGGGAGGGACAGAGGAGGAGCAGGCCCTGAGCTCTGCTCTGGGGGGAACAGGGACAACACCCAGGGAATGGCCTGGAGTTGTGTCAGGGCAGGGTCAGGTTGGATCTCAGGAAAAGGTTCTTCCCCCAGAGGGTGGTTGGCACTGACCAGGCTCCCCAGGGCAGTGGGCACAGCCCCAAGACTGCCAGAGCTCCAGGAGAGTTTGGATGATCCTCTGGGGCACAGGGTGTGACCCTTGGGGATGGGCCTGTGCAGGGCCAGGAACTGAACTCAATCATCCTTGTGAGTCCCTTCCAACTCAACATATTCTGAGATTCTGTGATGTTTCTTGGGCGAATTACCTCAGTGTCTGCAGGGATGGAAATGGTGCCTGTGTGTGGTTTCTGCAGGGGAATGGAGGGGATTAGACCTGGGAGCCAGCTCAAGGAACCAGGAGGAACTGCTATCTGGGCACACAGAGCACAGGATTTGGTGGCCAAACAAGAAAGTTCTTTAGAGCCAGCTCCCCAACAAACGAGAGTTATGTGAGTGGCAGATAAACAGAGGTACTTACAGGGCTCTTCAGAGGAATTGGCCACCAACTGCCATGGCCTCAGGACCAAGTGGCCTTTAAAGAAACCCAGCACCAGTCAATGAAATAACCAGTATGATATGTGTTTCATTTGAAAAGGCTCTTCCAGACACAAGTTCTCCAGTTATACAGCTTTCAACCACCACTTGTTGACTGGTACATCAATGTGTCCCTCTCCCCATGGTGCCTATACATTGAACCAGCCTGTCCCCAGTGCTCTCCATAGGGACAATATAGAATCAGAGAATATCCTGAGTTGGGAGGGGAGAAGGGACCCACAAGGATCATCCAAGTCCAACCCCTGGCCGTGACAGACACCCCAACAATCCCATCCTGTCCCTCAGAGCATTGTCCAAATGCTCCTTGAGCTCTCTCAGCCTTGGGGCCGTGCCCACTGCCCTGGGGAGCCTGGTCAGTGCACAGCCACCCTCTGGGGGAAGAACCTTTTCCTGAGATCCAACCTGACCCTGCTCTGACACAGCTCCAGCCATTCCCTGGGTCCTATCCCTGCTCACAGGGCACAGAGATCGGAGCTGCCCCTCATGAGGAACCTGCAGACCCCAGTGAGTCTCCCCTCAGTCTCTTCTCCAGCTGAACAAACCCAGTGACCTCAGCTGCCCCTTGCTGGCTTCCCCTCTAGTCCACCCAAGTCAGCCAACAGCAAAAGCCCCCATCCCCCTGCACAGCAATAAAACCAACCTCACCCAGAAACCACCATTCCCAGGGGACACCACCTGCAGAGCTGCTGCTGCCCAGCCAGAAGCCATGGGGAGAAGGGGATCCTACACAGCAAACACCCAACCTGCAGATGCTTTCACCAATGGCTTGTGACCATGGCTGAAGGAGAAGCTCCCACTGCTTCCCATCAGTGGTCATATCTCCACTCTCTCCCAGGGCACCAGGGATGCTTTTCAGGGTTGCCCATGTATTGATCAATCTCTCAAGAGCTGTAGAGGCACAAAAACTCTGAAAATACACTAAACATTTCCTCCAAACTGTAAGATCTTTAAGTCAGAAATAGTTATGGACTTCTAGGTTTTCCCTAGACATTCTGACCCTGCACAGACAGCAGTGACCTCCCACCCTGCTGTTCTTGGTGGCTGTCCTGGCAGGGAAAGGAGGACAGAAAGAACAATGATGCTTCTGAGACAACCACCAGCTGAGGACACCTCCCAGGTTTCTTTCCAGTAGTGTGGACAATGATCAAGCAAAACCCAGGAGAAAATCAAACATCAGTACCTCTTTTCTCTCCCTCTGCAAGACAAGCCAACCCCAACAACAACACAGGGGAACTCTAATTAGCTTCCTTCTGAGTCCCTCGAAGGAAACATGGTCCAACTGCTCTTCCCTCTTTATATCAGCAACTGCCTTTGGATCTCAGAGACACTGCAGGGAGCTGCTCCAGGTCAGAGACAACAGAGGCAAGTGTCAGACGTGCCTTGCCAGGTTCTTGCAGGAAGCCCCTTTCCCTGGGGCAGGAGGAGAGGACAGTCTGATGTTCACAGAAAAAAAGAAAAAGCTGCTTCATCACAGCTGGAGGTGGGGTGGGGACAGGAAGCACTGTTTTGGAAGGGGCACACCACAGCCAGCCCAAAGCCAAAATTATTCCCATAATGTGACTAGTGATCAGAAAAACAAACAAACAGCAACCTGCAAAACCTTCTTTAGAGCTAAATCTAAGTATTTACGCAAAGCACCTACATTCTGCAAGGCGACTTTCCCGAAAACATTTCAGCAGTTTCTCAGGCTTTCCTCCCAGTTGCTTCATCTCTGTCAAACACAGCACCAGCCCTGGGCCCAGCATGGGCCCAGTGACTGATGGGCAAATCACCGAACAAGCCAAAAGAAGATAATCAGCTTTTTCTTTCTGATCTTGGCTGAGCCTTTCGGGGTGACCAGATATGAACACAAAGCAGAAGTTACAGGAGGTCAGTAATCCTGAGCCAGGACCCTGAGATGGATGTGCACCTTGGCTCTGGGCCCTCCAGCAGAGCCAAGTGTCCAGGGACAGCTCTCCTGTCCCCACACACAGCCAGGGAACGGGGGGTTCCTGATCCCGAGTCTTACCGAGCGTCTGCTGGTTGCGGACCCCACCTATGACCACGCAGATCTCCGCGGGCACATCTCCCGGCCCATCTTTGATGTTGTTCTTGGAATCTTTGGTGTCGTCCTGCCAGATCACCTCTTCAATGTAGTCATCTGGTACCTCTGTTTTCACTTTCACCTCAGTCATCATTCCAGCCTCTTCACTGGGTGAGGACTGAGATGTCATCGAGTCGGAGCCCTCTGCTTTCGGGCTCTGTGGGCTCCTCTTCAAACACTCCCTGAATGGGGGAAAAGAGGAGACAACATGAATCCTCATTGTCAAGTGCTCACTTTCTCGTACCAGGACCTAATGCAAGGTACCTTGGTTTATGCAGGTTATTTAAAGTTAGCATGGGTAGGTGTGTGTGTCTGTCACACACGGGAAGTAATTAAAATGTAACCAGACAAAAACAACAAAACCATTTGCTAATAATGAAAATAACCTCAATCATCACAAGCAACAGCAGCAGGACCTAAACAAGAGCACAGAACTTCACATGGTTGCCAGCAGGCCAAGAGCACAGCTCCAGCAGTTCTGACAGCAGGTCCTGCACCAAGACTAGTCCACACATGCAAAAGCAAAGCCCTGCTCTTCTGTGGCACTGGGGACGTGGGTCAGTGGGGGACTTGGCATTGCTGGATTAATGGTTCGACTGGATGATCTTAAAGGTCTTTTCCACCCCCTAAATGAGTCTCTGATTCTCTGGCATTTTTAATTTGGAGCACTTGTGCACTTCTCCATCACATCCTCTCTTTTATCCTTTCAAGCAGCCTGACATCCTGTGGCATTCCCATGGCTTTATTTAACATATATGGTGCTGATCAAAGGGGATCATCTATAGCATGAGGATATTTAGGGAGACTATGCCATTATGGACAGATACAACTATCAGGGATGACAGAAAGTGTGATGGATGGGGAGAGACAGAGGAGATCCACAGTGTGCAAAAACAGATTAAGGAAATAACATGTGTTTTCACCTTGGAAAGAGAAAGCTGAAAATTCATGGGAGAAATTAATCTATAAAAACATTCAAAACCCCTTAGAAAAGGAAACTGGGCACCTCAAAGCTGCAAAACAACTTCAACAAGTGCCGTGGTGGCAAAAGACAAAGGGGCCTTAAGCACAAGAGACAAAGGCCTGGTAATAAGCCAGTGGAGCTCCTTTCCCAAATGCACCATCCCACCACTCCTTAGGGAGTCCTGGTTTTTAATACTGGTTATTAATAAACTCCAACATGCAATACAAAGATAAAATAATTGCTGCTTCAGTTTGTGGAGCTATCAGAAGAACTAAATATATAATGGCTTAGACTACCCAGAAACAGAAAAGACTGTGACATATTTAGAGTCATGTAAACACTGGGAACAGCCAAAGGTGTTTGAAAATGGTCTAGGCAGAAGTAACAGGCAAAATAAAATGAAAAATAGGCTGAACTTCTGGATGATTGTTAGTTCATGCAACAGCGACAGAGAAGGAAATCCCATTGCTTGGAACATCGTAAAGTCAGAATAAAGTATGAATTAAAATGTCAGAAAACCAACACCTGCAATGGGTTCTGACACTGGTTATGGAGCTGACAGAGAAAGCAAGACACTGCATCTGGAGGTGAAAGAGCCCAGTGGGTAATCCTGGGAGGACAGGGATGAGGAAGCAGAGGAACCAAGAGTAATTACTGCCCAGTCTCCAACACAGACATGGAGCTGCTATTTCAAAACGGGTCAGTCCCATCCCATCACCAGATATTTTATTATTCATCCCTTCAATCTCATTATGGAAAGAAATGTACAATTAATAGCCCCTAAACAGAGAGAATTAGCCTTGACCTGCCTTCCCACTCATTTCCTGCCTCCTCACACATACTCCCCCCACTCCCAAAATCATACAGGGCTTTTACAAGGGAGAGATAAATTAAGACAGAGAAAATGTGGTTGAAAACTGGACTATCTTTATGGAAATATTATGGGATGTCCCAAAGGCCCATCAATGTCACCCTATATGGAGTGGCTCAGCACCTGTCCCAAGGGGAAGGCAGTAAGTACAAAACACTCAGGGATCAGAAAAGGGTGGGATTAATTGCAAATCAATCAAGCCAAGGAGGTGTGAAATGCAAAACACTGATAAAGGCAGCAATAGGGTGGATAGGAAAAACTCTCTGATGAGGACTGTGGAGGAAAAATAAAGTCAACCAGTACAATTCCCACTGGGAGGCTGAAAGGTGGGAGCAGGCAGTGAGAGCCAGCTCTGCTCTGAAGTGAAGGAAAAACACCTTGGTTGGTGACGGTACAGCAACGTGTACTTGCCAGTCCTGGACAAAACCACATGGAAATCCATGCAGGAGCCAAGGGACATGGAATTAAAAACTAACACAAGTAGCAGCGAAGCAGAGGCTGCAGCTTTCTGAGATTATATGTGGGGTAAGAATATAAAGACTTTCTGATGGTGCCCAGCTTTGCATCCACACCAGTGGACCCCTCTCTCTGTAGCTGGCTCTGCCCCAGATAAGAGGTTGTAGAAGAGTCAAACAAGTGCAGGAACATGGGTGCACCCACAAAGAGCTCCCACGGTGCTCAGCTGTGATGCCAGGGGCAGGTCCTGCTGCAGCCACACAGCCCTGGAGGACTAACCCTGTCTGCAGATACAGGCAGCCAGGACTGAACAAGGAGGGGATTTTCTCCCTGTAGGAAGCCGTGGTGAAGCCAGTCCCTGGTGCTGCAGACAGACCCAGCACCCTCCCCTATTTCACCCACCGTGTTTCAAAGGTGATCAGAAAAGCTGGAGATGGTTCAAAAAAGCAGCACTGAAATGGTTCAAGTCTGGGAAAAGATACTTTATGACTTTGTGAGACCAAACCACTTCAATCCATTTCTCATGCCAAAAGGGAGACTGAGAGATGATTTGATTGCAGCATATTATCAATCTTCGTGGGGAGAAAATACTGTCTTTCCTTAATTTAGCAGGGAAGAGTAGACTACAAGCTCATCCTGGAAGCTGGAACCAGTTGAAATGAGGCATAAAAAATTAGCACGGATGGTGATCCACTGGAACAACTGCTTTCCAAAGGATATGCTCAGGGACAACAAATCTCCCCAAGTTCTCAAACCCAGGGATGTGTATCTGGCTGGCCCCAGGTTACTGGGCTCAGTACAGATGTGCACTGGCCACACTTGGTGGCCTGAAGCTGCAGGAATACATAAATTATTAGACCAGGCCAATGGACTCTCAAAACCTTTGCCCTTCACACCCATTGACTTTCTGGATCCATCTCTGCCAAGGAAGTGATTTCCCAGCTGGGCTGTCTGCCCTTGGGTGGGACCTAAACCTCAAACAGGAACTGAAAGCAATTCATTGCCCCATATGTTCTAACCCTGAGCAGGTACCTGATGTGCAGAAGGAAACCAGCCCCAAATGCACCAAGTCGTCTGCACGACTTCATGGTTCACAAGCCCTGCTGATCCCATGAAATTAAAACGGTAAAAAAAACAGCACCACTGGATTTCTACACCAATTTTACAACAAACAGAGTCCTTCTCTGTCTCCTGACACTTTCTAGGAGGGATGAAGGCAGCAGATGTACCCGGTCACAGCTGGGTGTGGCTGTACCTCTGGGTGTGGGTGAACCCCCATCCCCTGCCAGGGCCCACCGAGATCTGCACAGAGCCACGGCAGCTCAGACCCCAGGGGAAGAGCTCTAGGGTGGTGAAAAGGGAATATTACAAGCAGTAAGATTTTTTGTCCCAATTACTTGTACCTATAAAAATATACAGGTGTCAATGCATGTGTCTGTACACCCACACAGACATGTGTGTGCACATCTAAGAAGGGCTGGTAGTTGTGTCTCTGGCACAACCCCTGGTCCCACCCAGCTCCTGCCCCTTCTCCCACACAGCCCCAGGACGTGCATCCTCTGCTGACACCCCGAGGTGCTGGTGTTTTATTGCATGGGCCAGGTCCTGCTTCACAGCCCTGAGGGCTCTGGGAGCCAAACTGCAGGAACACACCCCCAAATGCAAACTTTGCTGCTGACCAGCACCAGGCTGGCACCAGTCCCACTCCACCAGCACAGTCTGTGCTCCCTTTTCATGGCTGTTGCTGTTTCCTTTCACAAGGCAGATCTGTGTTCTCACATTGCTCTTATTATTTCATATCTCACAGAGATTTTCTAGCCACTGGCTGATGTCAAGCTTCAGCCAAACTTCAGCTGCAGACTTTCTCCAGCTCAGTGTCCAGAGGAACATTATGGCTTTGTAGAATACCTTAAAATAAATGTAATCAAACAGCAGCACAGTCCCAAGTCCTCCTTCCTCCTCCTCTGGATGTGCTACGCAGGGGACAGAAGAGCCAGAAGGCTCTGATTGCTTCAAGTGATGCACAAGAGGGGCATCACCAGCTGCTGACAACAGCAGGAGAAGGTGATGGATCCTCCTACCTTCCCTGCATGTGGAGAACATCTCCCTCACCTGGATCCTTACAGCCTCCAAAGGACTGGTGGGCAGACCAGGCAGGAGAACTTGTCTGAACACTACAAATGAGCCCCTGACAGGCAACGGGATCGACTCTCCCAGGGCTCTGCCAGCACTGACACAGCCAAGGGTCTCACAGCACAGTGATCACCCAGTGACAGATCAACCTCTCATTCCTCTTGGACACTGACACCAAAAAGCTCCCCAAGCATGAAGGTGGGCCCCTTTCCAGGCCAGGTGACACAGGGGGTCAGAGAGCTGCTGTACAGATGGCAGGACCCAATGGAGCAGCTCTTACACTCCTGGGAGAAGGTCTGAGCTCTCCAAAAGATACCCGGTGCCCCTGCTGGGGCTGCACAGCTTTGGAGAGAAGGAGACAGTGATGGGGGAGGACAACTCTCTCAGCAGGAATGAGCATCACTTTCCCGTGGTCTCAGATGAAATCCAGGCAGTGCCCCTGTGGCTGGAGCAGAACCAGGGTCAGTCCAGACTTCTGGAGCTCAGTTGCTGAATGGGGTGTAACTGTCCCCAGGGAGCAGGGGCAGCTGGGCTGAGGGAACAATCCTCATGGGACAGCAGAGTTTGAAACCTCCTGGGTTGGCTGGGGAAAGAGTACCAACATCCTGAGGCTAAATGGGAAAGAAAAGGAAATGAGTGACACTGAAAAATTCAGGCAGGATGGAGAGGGGTACACACACAGCCACAGCAGAGCCAGGGTCACCCCAGCCTCCACCACGCATGGCACACACATGCTGACCCACGGGAGGTGACCAGGG